TTTTTTCCCTTATTTTTCATGCTGTATATCATATTCTGTTTTAACTATGCTTGGTACTTTTGCAGCAAATGTGCATTCCTGATTTTGTGCCACCAGTGACGAACGTCGCAGTTATTTTGATTCACCTAAACGTATTGACTTATCAATCTCTGGCAACCCCTCATCATCCAGTCCTTGATTCGGAGTTATATTTAGGAGCTGCTCATTAACAGCCCGTTAATTATCAGGTCGCTGCTGATTCCTTCCTCATTTGTTCCTCAGCTACATTTCACATGTTGCCTGCATCACACTCTAAAGTGCTACTCTTGGGCTCACTAGACACAACCAAAAATGTATTGAGCATCTTTCTAAACACAATATTGTTTTATTTGCTAGTTTTACAGTTTCCTCTGTCTTGCTCTTTCAGTATTAATGCTCATCAAGATAATAAGACCATAAAGGATGTAGTTGCCAAACAATGCATTGGCATGTATAGTCTTGGCTACAAAATGTTTAAACACAGCATGCATGTCTTATCGTGCACACAGACTAAAATAGTGAAGAATGTCACACCTCCAAAAGCAATGAATATTTACAAGAAGTATTTGACAAATAAGCCAACATCCTGCAGTGATCCAAATAGTTATAATTTTTGTACAGACTGCAGAAGATTTTTTGTATGATTGGCTGTCATAACACGAGAGCGCTTCCAGCAGAGTTTGAGCATCCTGTGTGCTGGTCAGATTTTCAGGGATCTTCAGGTCGAGATAGAATTGGCTCTTGTGTGGCATAGGAAGGTCAGTCATCAGCTCTAAGAAGGGGAGCTTCAGATTAATGACCAGGGGCGGCGAATCTCTGCAGGCCTTCATGCATCATGTCCCATTCACCGCCAAACATGTCAGGGTGCGCTCCCACTGGGAATTTCAGGGATATTTATGGAGCGTTTCCATCACTTTTGCCTCCTGCCTGTTGCACTGATCCTCTCTGGCTGAAAGATGGAGGAAGGAAGAAACGGGCCAGCGGGTTAGGGTGTGGTAGATGTTGGGGTGTGGTGGGTGGAGGTCTTGCAGCCAGACTGAAGGCTTTCATGCGCATACCTGGGCCATTTGCCTTAGCAACGCGGCTGCTCGCATGTTGCCATGGCAGCCACCCGACTGCCCACTGCCATCCTGCAGCTGCACTGCTGGTCATTAGTCACAGAGACAGGTCGTACACACTATCACAATGCCCTTCCTCCACCAATCAGCTCCTCACATGCCAAAAGTGCCGGTGCCTCTCAGCCATAGCATAGCTGCATGAGTCGCCATGGCAACATATCTAACTCCCATCTCTCATTGTACAAGAGCATCCTTCAGTAGAGAGAGCTAATTGTGCTAAATGTATTTTCATTCACAGTTTGCAATGCTTCGCAAGTGCTCACAATTCAACAAAGTAATAAAAAAAAAAGTCTTAGCTTTAATCTTTGTTCCAAACAGCATGTGATCAGCAGATAGACTTTACTGAATGTGATTTTCAAGGTTGTCTGTTACTAGTGTTTTTCAAGTATGCCCTTCAGAGATGTACTTTTTCTGTGTACAGAAGTTAATTTAGAACAAACTTAACTTCTGAGAGATATTAAGCCAGTGAGCAAGTTATTGCATGAATTGTAATCCAAAATACACTTCATTAACAGTGATAAAACATTAAAAGGGAGGAAAGTATACAGACACCCTCCCGCATTACGCTTTGGTCTTGACTTTCCGCTCAGTCTTTCTCTCTTTCTTTCAGTGACACACAAGCACACACATATCCAGGCACACTGAAACACTCCGATCAGCGGGCCCTGTTTTCTCGTCAGAGTGATTATCCAGCTCATAACTCACTCAGAGCTTTCATTTGCACCATAATTCAAACCAATCCCAGTGATGGAAGCTCTATAATTCTTACATGCACACACACACGCACACACACAGGCTGATTATCTCAGCTGCAACTCACACACCTGCAGTCACACGGACCACAAAAACAAGAGAAAGGAGAAGATAAATGCAAATATAATAGGTAGAGTGTTATTAGACTTTAAACAAGGTAAATATACATTAACTCGTATGGGTTTTAATGTCACTTATGTCTCTTGAAAGATGCATAACAACTACTTTGGGAAGGAGCACGAGATGGATTAGTCTCTATAATCAATAGTGCAAATGAAAACCAAGGATTCATGTAGCACATTAGATTCAAAGGAGCACTAACGCAAACGATAACCACTGCTATTCTATTTATTAGCATTTTGAAATTTAACTGTAAATATTTTATGTTATCCTCTGCAGACTTTTATTTAATGTTTCTTCTCTGAGTTCTTAAGGTACATGATTTCTATCAAACCAGCATGCCCAAGACATACAGCTTGCCAGGGAAATCAGATGTGCATAACCTAAAGTCCTTATGCTAATTTTCAACAGCCCAGTGGAGCTCAGCCTGCTCCCTCAGGGCTATACTGTAATAATTATCTATTAGGTCAGACTGACATGATTTCTATCATCTTTAATGGTGATTTTTGGGTATTCGCTCCTTTGAAGATTAATGTGTCATTTCAGTAAAATGAAAAGCCATGAATAGCAACATGTTCGCATCACATCGCTGTATAGGAGGAGGATTTACACATGAAAAAATCATTAACTCAGCTCACTGAGTGACACAGTGACGCTCAGAATGTGTGCTTCATTGCCTTCTTAACTTTGTACATATCTCTTATCACAAACTGCAATGCTGGACTGGGCTATATATAAATGAAAATTCCATAAAATAAAGTAAGAACCCCCAATATATGGCTGTACTGTGGTGACAGTGACAAAGCTCCCTTCCCCGGGTTAATGACATCTTCTTTGCCCTCCTGCTCTCATTTTCTATCACTGCCTGCCATGGCCAGATGCTATTTATAGCCGCTATCTGTTACTGTAAAGCCCTCTTTCTTTCTGTACTCTTTCAAAAAATGTGCCACTCTTTCAGTTTTACTTCCCCCTTTGGTCCGTATAATTGAATCAATAAACAGGCTTTAAAGTTTTTCATTTTGGATTCAGTCAAACTGACTCTCTGTCCTCCAAGAGGATGGGATCCATAGAAGGACTCGTGAACTCTGCTCTCGTCTTCTGGAGTGTTTCTCAGAGCTCCTTTCACAACACCCTTTCATCTTTCCCCCCTCATGCATTCTCTTTTAAGTTTGATTTTTGTATAGCCTTCATGGGATTTAGACCACTTTCAAAGCTGTATCAGCTGTTGAAATGTGTTGTCTTCCTATGTTTTTATTTTCATAGCTGAAAGTGGCTGATTAACTCCAAAGCTGTTTCACATTCAAATATTGTTGGTGTGATTTAATATATTAAGAAGAAGAATAACTGTATATGTATAGCACTTAAAAAAACAACACACAGTGATAAAGTGCTTTGCAGTTGGGATAAAAACACATTAAAAGCAAGTGTCCATATTTATACATGCAAACACAGAGTAATATGCTACATAATGCTGCATATCAGACCCCCTTTCACGCGGTTTTACCTCATCCTGTTGATGGATGTGTGAAAATTCTCTCTGACCCCAGTTACACCTGAAATTGCATATGTGCTGAGTGGCTGGCTTGTGGATTAGATGATGTGAACACTGATATATTTTCATAAATGTTCCTAAAACCCATTAAAAACAAAACAAAACAGAACATGCAAATTTGGTGCAATTTTTTATACCCAATTCCAGGAAAACATTTTAAAACTTCCTATGATTCAAAGTTCAAAATGATCCTTTTTTATTCTCCTCTTTGGTGCATTCCCTTAGTTTATCCACTTTGTGAATCAAGCTCCTCTTCCTTTAAGCCAGCGTTCCTCGAAATGGCTTGCAAACAGAAGGTTGGGTCAAAGCCAGAGCAACTACTGTAGGGATAGCTGCTCTAATTGACATCCTAAAGATCCAAGACTTGTGTGAGATGGGTGTTTATAGCAGTCTAAGAATGACTTGCATCACCTGTGGGACCATCTACAATTTCAAAAGGATCCCAAAGACAGAAAATAGGAGAAAGCATACCAAGTCCAGTGTAAATACATGCAGATAAATTATGCTTGACATAATCAGAAAACAAGACACATTTGTAGTGGCTCACTTTAAACATTGATATTCTTTGTCTCGGATCCTGAAGTGCATAAATAGACCAGCTGGAGCATTAATTGTCCCTGTTGTGCTCAGAATAACTGACAGTTCTGAAGGATGCTATTTTAAACTGACAACACCTTTCTTTGCAGCAGTAATTATAGTGTCTGGTTATGTAAAAGTTTTTATTTCATCAGTTACAGACACCAAAAAGGTAACAAGATTTGCCAGACAGCAACAGAACCAACCGAGTAAACAGTGAGATATACAGTTAGGTTCATATGTTTTTAATTAGTATTGTTAAAAATGCCCCAATGGCATCTTAATTTCTGATTTGATTGACCTTCTCGTTATCTGTCTTTCTGACTTGCCTCTATTTATACCCACTTTAAATATGTTTCTGATTTCCCCCGTGGCTCTTATTCTCTCGTCTACCTTTTCACTTTAATTTCCCTCTGCTCTTGCCCGGCTTTCTTTGCTCGCATCTCATTTGAGAATCATTTAAATCAATGGGACAACTGGTAGAGTGAACCTTTCTGTCAAGGCTGAGCGAGGGAGTTAAAGAAGGGCAACCACCCCTGAACTCACCTCCCAATGCAACTAATTGCCTATAATTACGCCGACGACTGCCACAGAATGCAAATCAGCAGGGATCCAAATGCCTACTCCGCATTGTAAATCTGTTTCATGTCAGCATGAAACTAAGCTGTGAAAAGCATTGAACACAGCAGCATCAATAATATGAGTACAAATACTTAAAAAATGATGCACTGCTTGAGCTGTAATTGCCTGCATCATATCCATCATTTACTTGAAGGTTTCTTGTGTTAAGGAATCTATGGCAATTATAGGAGGCTGGACTCGCCATTCAAACGTCTTGTTCTCTCCTGCTTTTTATCCCTCAGGAGGAATATTTGAATCCATTGAGAGCGGCCCCTCGGGAGCAGAGGAACTAGCCTTTAAATTTGCCTTGAACACAATCAACAGGAACCGCACATTGCTCCCCAACACCACGCTGACCTATGACATCCAGAGAATAAACATCTTTGACAGCTTTGAGGCTTCCCGGAAAGGTGAGTCAAGAGGAATGGAAAGGACGTTTAGCTGAATCTCACTGTGAGTGCTTTTTGTTCTTACATGAATTAGTATTTTACAGGTAGCCATTCCGACAAATGCTGCACACTCTACTTTCCTATTTGAGTGTCAAATCGATTCATGTTTTATCAGTTAAAAGGATAAAAGTAATGTCCATGTATAGCTTGTATTTTTATGCTGTAAAGCCCATGTGTAATGCATTAACCTTTTGTAAAGGAAACCTAAAACCTGCCCTGTTGGTCGCTGATGATGGACAAGCATTTGTGTTCATGGTGTCTGAAATCTCAATTTACTGCTCACAGTAAAGAAGATTATTGCATCATTATTATTATTATGAACGTGTAAACCGGGCAGTGATTCGAGATAAAACCACAGAGTACATCGTAGAATATTTTCTGTTATTCGCCCCATCTAACCACTAATGCAGTTTACATCCACAAACGACTTGACATTTATTTGTTAAAATGGGCTACTAATTGACAGAGTTTAAAGAGAGTTGAGCTAACGAAGGGGAGAAAAATGACCAAAGATACCTTGTGAAGTCCTCACAGTTGCGAGGCTTATTAATTTGCTATTTTTTTCCCCGAGTGTTCCCATCTTTTTTTTTCCCCCTCTCTTTGTTTGCCCACATCAATCACAACCACAGTGGAACAGTGTGAAAGATGTTCTCCTTCCTACTCAAACAGAGGTCCAGCTTGTATAAACAACGCTCCGAACCGCTAGCGGCTATAAAAGAAAATTCCACAGTCGGAATTAAGATTATCCGCTGGGCTGAGGAAATTATTAAGCACCGGTTCTGTTTATGTTTTGGTTGCTTCAGGTGACATGTGGACAAAAAAAAGAAAAAAATTGAGCAGAGAATATGAGATATAGTGAAACTTAAAAGCATAACCGAAACATGAAACTAACTGTCTTTTTGTTTTCTTTTGTTTTATTTTTCCTTGCTACCCCGTCAGCATGTGACCAGCTTTCCTTAGGTGTGGCGGCCATTTTTGGCCCCTCACACAGCTCGTCAGCTAATGCGGTCCAGTCCATCTGCAATGCTTTGGGAGTGCCCCACATCCAGACCAAGTGGAAGCATCAGGTGTCAGACAACAGGGACTCGTACTATGTCAGCCTATACCCTGACTTCTCCTCCCTTAGCAGAGCCATTCTCGACCTGGTGCACTTCTTCAAGTGGAGAACAGTCACCGTGGTCTATGACGACAGCACAGGTACAGGTACAGTCGGTGTCTGTCTTCATTTTCCACTGGTGCGTGTTTTGTGTGATGATGGATGTGACAATTCTTAAAACCAACCAAAAAACAATGTCCAGTAAGAAGTACCAGGTGATCTACAAAAAGCAGCAGTGCTGCTCAGAGTTCAGAGAGTGCTTTGTAACCTGTCAAGTTAATTCAGAAATCAATAGCTTACTGTTCTGCCTTAGTCCTCCAGGTGCTGCCCATGTCAGTCTTCCAGGAGAGTGAGCAGCAGCACAGAAAAAAAACGAGAACCACATTACCCAGAATGACCCTGTGTCTCTTCAGATTAATGCAATGCAGAATTGTAGTATGTGGGCGCTGACAACAGCCATTAATAACACACAGAGACACTTGATCTCTGAGGGTGGCAATCAAATGAGTCTCTGAGCCATTTTGTCTATCCTGTGACTTTGCGGAGTGCCTCGTAACGCGCTTTTTAAAAGGCGAGTCGTATTTTAGCTGGAGTACAGTGAGAGTTTTACAAGGTAAAGTATAATCACTCTAGAGAAGATAACAATATTCAAATGCGTATTCACAAGTTATGAGCTTTTTGGCATGACGTGGTTGACAAGTAAATGTAAGTAAATTACAGAGCAGAGAGGAGGATTAAATTTTCAGGTTGCCTAATGAATTCAATTTCTTCTCTCCACCAGTCTATATAGTCTTGTAGTTGACATCCTATGCAGCGCCTCTAAATAGATACGAGAGCCCTTTTGTTCCTTTTGAAAGCATCACCTTTACAGCCATTTGACTTCTTCAAGTGTCTCTTCTTCCACATCTGTGATATATTGTAAATAGCCAATCCTGCAGCGTTCTAGCACTCATACATTAACCTCAGCTGATATCCCATTGGCTCGTCCCGCTTGCCACATTATTTTGACTCATCTCCTTGACCTCCCCTCTCTTCCTACCTTGGAGCTCAGTATGTTAACACCCTCACTCTCCTGCAAACTGTCCCGGGGAGATGCCAAACGGGGTGATCTCTCACCTCTCTCTGCATCAGATAGGAGCTGCTTGGGCCTCCTCTGTGGTACGTATAGGCTGTAACGCACCTGACGCCCTGAAAAGTGTGACAGCTGCACAGCCATGTTGTTTACCCCCTCCGTTTCCACCCGGTCTCAGGCTGTAATCACACAGCTTCATGCTCCAGAGCCCCGCGCTGCTGATTGGAGCCTATCTGACGGCTGACAGGAAAAACTATCAGAGGGGATAAAATATTCACACACAGCCGTTAGAAGATCCAGGGGGAAAGTCTGAAAGAATTAGCCAGAGCCCACAAACATCTACAATGACAGTGTTTCCCAAACGTTGAGCTCCCTTGACAGATTTTTTTTCCTAGCTTAACACCTCCCAAAGTGTCAGTTCGAACAAAAACAGGGAGACGCAGACATGCCCTAGAGTGGGGATCTATTGGGATTACCTGAGGAAAGCTGTATAGGTTCAGTATTCCTCCCTACAATGGTACTTTTCAAGGCGAGACCTGCATGTTCCTATTTCACACCAATCTTTCTATAGGCCTCAGGGAGACCCAGCCCCACTCACAGTAAGACCATTAAACTGCTCACACAGCACTTCATTTCAAAATAAAAAATAGGCTGAGCTATCTTAAAGTGGTTGAAAAAAAAAATCCTATCTCTCTCCAGTTCCCTCTCAAACTATCCTTGCTGCTCCATCCATTTTTATACCCATGACAAGTAATCATCTCTCCCATCAATCCAGCCTCTTTCATCCCTGGACTCTGAAGTTCTTTACTGAGGGAGAAACTCATTGTAATCTCATCACAGTATCTCCCGGAGAGCTTTCTACCTGAGCGTGTGGTCGAGAAATGAAAGGTGAAGATTGTAGCTCAATGTGTGACGAAGGCGCCGGGCTCCCTGGGGGCAAGTACAAGCTGGGCAAACAGAGCCTCTCTCATCAGAACACGTCTGAAGTGTATGTGAGAGAGGCAGAAGAGGCAGGATTGACCACGGCTTTCCATCTGGATAAAAATTGAACCTATTCCACGCTATTCTATGGTATCATGGAAGACAAGAGCAAATCACCATTTGGGAAGCTTCTTTCAGGATGGGACTTTCTGTAGGAGGTTGCAAAATGAGGCGCTCTCTGTATTGTGGTTTTTGTTATGAAAGAGTGCAATGTGCTGGCTTGGTGTAACATTCTCTTGATAAGTCTGTAGCTGTCTGTTTGCTTGCCAAGCATGAGTAGGAGGATCAATAGACTGCGGATTAGGAAGACATGCATATGAGCATATTTTTTCTGCTGAGAATACATGACTCCAATTGGTCTTCGTGGCCTCCTTAGAATCAGAGTTACTTCAAAATGGTGGCACATCAAACACACCATATTGCTGCATCTTTAAAATGGTCCTTTCACACTATATATGTATCCTCTTTGTCTGCAGGTCTCATTCGACTGCAGGAGCTGATCAAGGCACCTTCACGATACAACATTCGTTTGAAGATCCGACAGCTGCCCACAGAGACCAAGGACGCCAAGCCACTTCTGAAGGAGATGAAGAAGGCAAAGGAGTTCCATGTCATATTTGATTGTGGACATGAGATGGCTGCCTGGATCCTGAAACAGGTATCAACTCACCTTAATGAGCCCTGATACTCTCTTAGACTCACGGATGTCTGCAGCATTTGTGAACAGCATAAGTAATTTTATCACACTGTTTCCTGAATTTAGTTAAAAGTAAGTTAGCTACTGTATAAAATTTACATAATTTCCCCTTAAAGAAATTTTCACATGTTACTGAGTACCCAGACTCATATATATACACATATATATGTGCTAAAATAATCAACATAAGTCCATTCGTGATCCCTATCTTATTCTTTCTCTCTTTAAGAACTGCTGCAGATCTGTACATCTTTAATCCTTGTGTGTTAGATATCTACTCGTGGCCCGTCATAATGGATGCTTTCCATTGTACATATTTTTTTTCTTTTAAATTATAAAGTCTAATTCTGCTCACAGGCATGTTCAATTCATTTAGCAGAGGCGCATTATTAATGAGAACCGTGGGGGTTGTTGTTGAGCTCAAGTCTTCTCACAAGCATATTGCACAGTTGGAGTTCTCTCTATAGCTGTGTGTCAAAACTAATGATTCTTTATTGTGGCGCATATTTTGTTTGTTATTTATCGTTGCATGCACAATGCAGTGCCGAGCCCGCATGGACTTAGGATATAATGTACAACGTATTGGGAGAAACGTGAGCAATGTGGACGCATAGACTGATTTTTTCAAGCAAAATTACTGTCAGTGTCATGATACCGTCTCGGCTCTGAGTGTAATAATAACCGAATAAGTCTGTTCATCAGTCATCAGGACAATTAAAAATGCCTTGGCAGGCCCCCGCTTTCACATTTTTTCCAGTCTCAGGTGCCTTTCTGACAGGTGTCAGGGTGGCAATATGTATTAAATAACAGGTCAATTAGTAATTCTAATACCACAATTCATTAAGCTATTTGTAATTGACTTTTAGTTACTGCTTGCTTTTTATTTCTCCCTGTAGGCCCTGGCAATGGGTATGATGACGGAGTACTATCATTATATATTTACAACCCTGGTGAGTACCCTGGGACTTTTTTGTTGTTGACAAGATGTGATGATAGACTGTGTTTTGTTACTTTTTTTCTTTTTGCACAGCCCCGTCCACTTGATAACATGCTGTTTGGAGATATTTCGTCTTCTGAGCCTATTGTAGTGCAAACATTAATCTGTTTTTTTTTTCCTTGTTGCAATGAAAAATTACCTGTCACTTTTTCATTTCTGAGAATACAATTTAATACCGCTAACCGAGAACTAGTCAAAGAAAAACATCCCATTATTTTCATTTTATGTGAGGCGTTTTGAACCCGAAGTGCAAGTTGACTTTGCGATCACAGAAACCGATGCCCTTGAAAGGCTGAGTCATTGTTATGCAGTCTATTATAAATATACCCTTTGCATTCCACTGCGTCTGCTGAGAAAGTTTAACTTGAATTTATTTTCTAAATTCTGAACAACCTTCTCACCTCACCTGGCTGACCACTACCCAGAGTTTAGGAAACAAAAGCAGTTGGAGGTATTTTATTCTCACTCCAGCAGCGATTGAAGTTTGCTAAATTTCTTTGATCTAGCCGCTACAAAGATTGCTTCTCACACTCCAGATGAAAAGCAGCACATCTTCACTGAGCCCAGAGAACAGAAGACTGAGAGCTTAGATAATAGCCCTGAGCAGATGAGACTGTCACCCATTTGGTCCATTATAGCTCTAACAAACAAATAGCCCGCTGTGTTGTTTGGAACACAGTTGGAAAGGGTGAAGAAAAGGTTAGAGAAAACTGACCTGAAAAGACATTTACCATTGCAGAGGACATGTAACTATCCCTAGTGCATCCACATACAGTAAGAACCTGACTAGATGAAAGGGGAGTGAGTGACAGCAGGTATGTCATTGGGAAAGGGAAGAGAATAGTGATTATAGGCCTCTTTCGGTGGCATGCTGTTTCTTGCCGGGATGGAAGCATGCCTACTTTAACATCAGTCAGTGTTTGGCAGAATTGGAAGCCAGTGTGCTGGCCCGAGATGCTGCACACTGGTACCAAGCCATTCATGCTGCTCTCGGAATAGGACAGCAAACATTGACCACGGCAGCCCCATTCTGCGTCCATCACCCGCTGTTTCTCTGTCAACTGTGTTGTTGCATCCCAGAGACATCTGCCTGGTGAGATGCCAGACATGCTGCATGCGGGACAATTGGGTCGTCCTTTTCCGTCCACATGATAGATGGCAGTCCACCAAAAGCATGCCGGTAACCTTGAAAGGCTTGCCTTTATCAAGGCTACTGTCTCAGCGTAAGATGAAATAGCTCCTGAAATCCCTTCAACTGCACCCTTTTGCGCTCCCTCATTTGGCAGTGGCTGCCGCTCAAACGTCGACTTGTAATTATGAAAATGAGCGATGTATAGCAGTGGAGGAGGGAAGATGAGGAAATCATGATTTTTTTTTTCAGTTACATTTTGATCTTTGTGCCTCTAGGACCTTTTCGCCCTTGACATGGAACCATATCGCTACAGTGGAGTCAACATGACCGGTTTCCGCATACTCAACACAGAAAACTCTCAGGTGTCGTCGATCATCGAGAAGTGGTCAATGGAGAGATTACAAGCCCCACCCAAGCCAGACTCGGGCCTGCTGGATGGATTCATGACGGTAGGCCCAAACCTTTTTATCTAAGATGTGTACATCTTACTGTCCACATAAAAATAAAAACTGCCCAAATAATTTGGATGCCATACATAAAGTTTTTTGTTTTTGTTTTTTGTTGGTTTTTTTTGATTGATGAAACAAAATGAGTGTTTTGAAATAGAGCGTAGCTGTGGAGGAAAAGAACTGTAACTGAGTACCAGTTGTCAATCACAAACTCAATTGTGAGGGGCTCCTGGGGTGGGTACCGCGTGGAGCTTTTGAGTTGGTGCTCCTGGGTCTAAATGCTCCGTAATGAGCTGGTGTGAATGGTAATAGCCGTTTATCTGCCCTCCTGCCTCTCACAACTCTCCTCTGGGAGCGTGGCCAAAATATGACAATCTGTCAGTGTTCATGCAGAGAGAGGGAGCAAATTGGATGGAAATTATGGCCCTGGTTTTTTAGGATGGCATCCAAAAAAGCATGGGATAAGGTGATTTGAAAGTGAAAACGGGAATGGAGCTCGTCATGGACATTCAAGGTCCCTTTCTGGGTCTGTTGTTGTAAACAGTCAATTTACTCCACCTCCCTCACAACACCTTCCTTTGAGACAAACACCTTTTTTTTTCTTCTTTTAGCCTGCCTCTCTTTGTTCTTGGCAGACTTAAGATATGGTTTCTAAAATCTGTGCAATGAAAGAAGAATCTTTTCATTAGAGACTTTAAAGACAAGCCTTTGAATTAGCCACAGTGCATGGTGTCTATTCATATCAATCACAGCCTTAATTCAAGCTTACACATGATCAAATATGAACACACACAGTTTGTGATGAATTTAAATGTGTGGGGTTTTTTTATGTATCTACATATATTACAGCCTAAGTTGTGTCAGAAACATTCAGCATGCACGGCTTTAAAACAGAAATGTAATATTCTATTTCCCTCAAGCATCGGCATGATGCACTTGATTTTTTTTTTTTTGTTTTTTTACATCAATGGAAATTAATTGATTTCAGTGGAGATGGCTGAAGTGATTAATTAGCATTGCATGAATCATTTTGTCAGATTCTATCCTATGTATTGACGTATCTTATTGGATTAGAATCACTGGGCTGAATAATAAATAATGCATCCAATAGCATGCTTGACGGAGTGCATGCTAGTCTTGGGTATTTTCGTTTCACCTTAAGACAGGTCTTTGTAATGAGCGAATGCAGAGAGTGCAGCCTGAATGTACAAACACTGCCATTTTGATGTTATATTAAATACATAATGGAGAAACGGTTTTGCTGCTCATATAAAATGATTCTGTACTTAGACGGAATATGAACGCGTTTTAAATAACAATCTGCTTTTCCGTAACGCAAATACAATTCTTTTTTTCTTTTTTTTAAGTCATTCCATAGATTTTCCTGATACTTCAGCTATACCGCCTCGGGTTAAAGGTGACACCTATAAGGGTGTCATTAAATAAAGCGGTAGAGTGCTGCAGCGGCCAGCGTGTGACCTTCCACCCCCGACCTTGCCTCTAGCCTTTTATTTCTCCTCTCTGGTGCCGTGTTCCTTTTCTGTGCAGTACAGAAGCCTTGCTGGGCTCTGGGCTTGTTTGTGCTCGGTGACCAGGCAACAGTTGTGTAGAGATGGTTACCAGGACAACGCCATCTGTGTCACCTTGTGATTGACTGAGATGAGAGGAGGTAGGGAAGGGGAGGGGTGAGGTGAAATGGGTTGCGGCAAAAGGGGGTGGTGGTGGTGGTGGTGGGGGGGGGGGGGGGGGGGGTTGATGAGGAGGAGGGGCGAGAGAAGATTGGACAGGAAAGATGGGGGAGAGGGTGTTACAAATATTGAGAGGTGCATCTGATGTTTGCTTACGCCACTAGCCCGGTGTTGCAGGGTAGTGAATAATCACACAGACACTTGGTGCTTTGGGTGAGGCCAAGTGTCTGAGGAAAGGACGCATAATGAGAAGCCCTTCCTCAGACTAGGCAAGCTCGAAGCCGCAGACACACTGAGCCCCTGCCTCCTAACCCTGTTTGGCAGAGGTATCTCTGACATGGAAGGACACATAATCAAAGTAGCAGGGCTAATTAGTCCAGTTATTTTTGCGTGCGTGTGTGCGTGCGCTGTTGATCTTGCTTGTTTGTGTTGACTCTTTGACAATATCCCCCAAGTAAAGTGAAGCTCAAGTTGTTTTAACCCTGCGTCGTGAGGTGAATTTACAGCAACTAAAGACCCGCAGCCCGTGTACTGAGAAATGCACCCAGCAGATTTATTAGATATCTCGTGTCTAATCTGATTATTATTTTGTCCCATCTGTTTCTAATTATTGCCTTCAGCTAATGAGATATTTGCTTTTAATGCTTTGTTTTAATTTGAATTATTTTAAATCCCCGATCGCTGAGCTAAGTATATACCAGGATTTAACTAAGGAGAAGGAAAAGAGGGGAAAAAAAGATCTTCCCAGTTGTACGCCTCGCTGAGGTTTTAGGCCTGGATATTTTCTGCATCTCCACCATTTCATTTATGTCTGCATTTCATTGAGCTATAATTACCACCACAGAGAGCTGGATGTTCTCCAGTGTCATCAAAACAATTGAAAATTCTGGTGTAATAGCTCATAATTATCACTCTCTTATTAGTAGAGAGCAGTTGTTTGGATAATATGTTGGCTATGACATGGGTGTTGCTGCTCCTTTCGATCACATGGGACAAAAATAAGACACATGGGTGAAATTAATTGAAAACAACAAACACTACACAGAAATGCTCCTCAACAAAGGCCACTGTAACCATTATAATAATAATAATAATAAGGATAAAGGTGTTAGAGTTAGATTTGTAATTAATATGCACAGAGTTGTTGGATAGCTACCTTTTAGGTAGGTAGTACACAAGAAAGTGCTAAATCTTTGGAAATCCTGAAGCTGTTCATATTTAACAGTGTATATGGTGATCATTTTTAGCTATTCAGTGTAATTGCATTGCATTACTGCTTTGATGTGTAATTGTTAGTGGCAGCCTGGTGTTCCCCCGTGGGATAAAAATTACACGCCTAACAGAAAACGTTACATGCATATACCGGGTCCCATTTGCCAGATTTGCAACTTGCAAGCTGTGATTTGCAATATGAGATGATCTCCTGCATCCTAATTTTAACACATTTCATTAGGCTAAACAAACGGCTCGCACGTCGTGCCTGAGCATGTGAGAGCCCTTTAGCACTCGCACATGTACTAGTGAGTAAAATTGACTTGTGAAACGCGGCGCTGCCAAGTGCACACACCAGTTGTTTTTGTAACACGTGCCTCTGGATGCTATTCTGAAAAGCAAATCTGGAGCACGCATGCATTTAAACAATGCGAAATGCAACATTTAATCGTTTTCTTCATTAGACTTCTCTCTTAATGCCGCATGACACGATGAATCCTCTGTGCCCCAGTTCCAGTCGAGACGTGTTTGCTTTCTCCGGTGGTTAACGCGTTTAAACGAAATAATTGCATGCGTATTATTGGAATGATCTCGTCATTACCACCAGTAACTACCAGATCAACAACGACTCAAATTCTATCAGCGGATTTAAATGCAGTGTTTGTGTGTGTCACAGATTGTGCCTTTTAAAATAATTTGTGATAAGTATACTTCATTTCTGTTTGGGTTCAAATTAGGGATAATGGGAGCAGAAAATGAATTAGGAAGAGAAAGAGGAGGAAGCAGTTTTGCCCAGAAATGGTGCACAGGGGGTAAAGAGCAGCAGGGAGAGAGATGAGAACAGATACCTAGCTGCATTAACGAGCACTGCTGGGAGTAAAGTGGGAGACACCCACACAGCGAGAGCAGAATGAAGGAGCTTGCTAGGTGGCTGCTACATGCCATTAACAATGGGTTTACCATGGATGTTTACATTTAAATGTGTGTTTGTGGCGCACAGCATGTATGTTCGAAACACCTACAGGAGGATTCGGTTGCCTGTTCCAAGAGGGGAGGACTTGGCTCAGATTTGGCATCACTACTGGGTTTGATACAGAGCATGACTGCCTGGAAACTGACAATAGGAAGACAATATTGACACACGAATCCCTCTCCCAGTGAGCTTCATTCATACAATATTCCAGCCAAATGAAGGTCCTTGGTGTGGGTGTTGAGCCAAATGTGGTGCTCCCCAGTGAGAATACTATTGAATGCATACTGTAATTTTGCTTGATATGAGTCACACACAAAAAAAACTTGCTTGAAATTAAACTGAGCAGTTGAGGGAATCCTTTTATTTGTTCAAACTGACTTCTACCCCACAGCTGAAAGTTCAGCAGTAGCATAAATATTCACATATTTGTTTCATCATTTATTATTTAGTGGGATTTTTTTTAGAATTCTGTTTTGTACAGAATTCAGCTGATACATATTATTTTGAAATGTAAAATATCTCCTTCTTACCATCTCTGATAACAGCATTTATAGATTTTCTCAAACCTCCTCCAGTATCAGTCATTTTCTAATCAGTCGTCATTACAACCTGGTCTGCTTTATATCGACAAACCGCTTTTCTTTGCGCGGAATCACAAGGCGCTTAGTTATTGTATTTGATATAGTACAGACAGAGCTAGCAGAACAAACGCCACATAGGTTCGCAGGTTGGTTGCGTCCATTAGAGCAACGTGATCCCCCTTCCTCTGATCCCGGTTGGCAGAGGAGAGAGCCTTTTAAAGACAGCGACTGTGGAGAGCAGACACTCGATGCCCTGTGCCGGGCACCACCAGCTGGGCTTGGCACAGTATCAACATTATTAGCACCAGTGCTCCCTTGGTCCATAGAAGCCTTTTGTGAGTGAGAACAGCCAGGGGGAATTAAAAGGCAGATTTATTATCCTGCTTTCCTTTGGTTTTACTTTCTCAAACACATTTTACTTCACTGTCTTGTTTGCTTGTTGTGTTTACCTTTGTGTTAATAAAGCAAATCAAATTAAGCACAGTACGGACACGTTTTTACCTTTATATACATGCGTAAAGATTAAACGCAGACCACACTACACAT